CAGTCGTAGCTCTAGTGCCACCTCCTCGCCGCTGATGCGGCCGTGCCTTTGCGGTCTGCCGTTCACCTCTCAGCGCGCACGCGGCCAGCCTCGCTCGGGTCATCTCTGGCCGAGCTGGCTTCTCGATAAGGTCACTGGTGAATTGTCGTTGCTCACCCGCTACCCCTATCGCCTTGTTGTTGTTGCGGCTCACCTGAACGCCATCGCCATTGTTGCATTGTGCCCCTCGTCGTGAAGAGGTCCTTCTATGGTGTCCCGGCTCGTGCAACCACCGCCCATCGTCTCACATCGAACCCTAGGTGAGCGTCGGCCTCATAGATAGGTCAACGTGGGTCCCGGGGGGGGGGCGCAAGTGCCACTGCCACCACTCGCCGCGCCGAAGCGCGTGGGGAGGTCTGAGGGCCTCGCTGTTGCAAAGAGGAGATGATATGAGGGTTCTTTTGCATAAGTGCTGTCTCTAGGAATAGTAACATGGACTGCGGGTTGTTTTAAATGATCACTGGATATATATATATATATATATATATATATATATATATATATCTGTGTGTGTGTGATGTGCATTTATGTTATAGGCATTTTGTAGAAACTACATGCATAGTAACCTACCTATGAGTCCTACTAGCATAGGTCAAGTAGCTGCTATGCTTAGGCTACCGGTAGCGTGAGTAACCTGCCATTACTCACAATAGCTGATTATTATTATCACTCTCATGATAAAATGGTAAAAGGAAATGGAGACCGGGTAGGGATATGGTACTGGTATTAGTGGGTGTAAGAGGTTGTGGCCCGCGACCAACGGAGCATAGCTTGGTTACACTATTTTCCCTATCCATATCGGTTAAGGACCGGCCGTTGTATTGGGTTCTAGTCAGGTCACAGACTTATTATCCTGAGCACATACTTGTTTATGGGAGCAGGGAAGGTTCGTTGCTCTCTTGTCGTGGGTTCCGGCTCTTTCCGGACCGACTGATTGGAGGCGGAGATGGTGGAGGTCTAAGCACCATACTGAATCCAGGACTCAGGTGTGGGGGTTTAGAGTCCAAGTTTGGACGGGGACCTGGACCCCTTGACAGAAGAGTGGTGGGTTGGTCATGCTTGTGCCTGGGGTACAAGCGGGGCGTATGTTTCGGGGTACCTAGCTGGGCACATTGATTCACGAATCACCGAGTAATCCGGTACGACTTGTCTACGGTCTAGCACCGTAGTAAGAACTGAAAGATGAAAGATGGTGAAATGGATCTGTTTGCTCAACTCTTGCTTGAAAGTAGAACAGGTGCTTACCTAGAATGGTTAGATAATGAACTAATCATGACTGCTAATAAGAAACATACATACGGCTTCACTACTAGTATTGCTTTTTGTAAAAAGGAAACACAACAAACCATAAAGCTTATCGTATCTTTTGGAGTGTGGAAATTATTCCCACTAGTTGGGTAAGTCTTGCGAGTACATTGTGTACTCAGGGTTTATTCACCCCTGTTGCCGGTGCAGCTTGAAGAGTAGCTGTTGTGTGGAGGATTCTTCTGGTGGGCACAGACGGATCCTTGTATTATACCGTTAGATGTTTATTGTAATTCCGCTGTTTAAATTCCCGCACTCTGAACTTAGTATTGTAATAATGTATTTCTAAGAACTGTTGTTATATGAAATGGACTAAGTATTACAAACTTATTCTCATTATTGGATCCTGTAGGAAAAAACGTGGATTATTCGAGTTCTTCCTTGGGATGTGCTCGATGGAATCCGTCTGATATAGCTTGTTTCAGGGTGCTTAGTGTCTGGTGGAAGATGAGTGCCTCCGAAAATGTGTTATTTCGGACGATTCTGCCACAGAAACTCGACGATTCAACTGAACAATTACATACGGATGAATTGGCTAGAAATGTCAAGAGCACTGCTGGACTGGAGGGATCACGCCTACCAAGGATGGCCTCCAAACAGCACGCTAGACAGCCTGTTCGGCAGGCCGTAAATGATCGTGGATTATTAACTGCTGGCTGGTTTGGTGTCAAAGAAAAATACTGTTCTGGCTGGAAATTTACGATCGTTTACGACCAAGCAAACAGGCTAAGTCGATGGGATTCACGAGCGCAGACGATGCACTAAAAGCTGTCTCCCTCGTGTTCAGTGATCAGGATGGATATGCCCACCACAGTACTAGACTTCGCCAAATTATATAATACTCCCTCCCTCCGTCCACAAAAAAAATGCAGTTCTCACTTATGGAGGAGTCAACTAACTTGAATTTTGACTGAAGTTATATTAAAAAGTACTAACATTTTTATATAAAAAATAAGTATTATGAGATTAATTATAGAATATATTTGAAGACATAAATGCTAATAATATTTACTATAAATTTTGTCAAAGTTGAGTAAAGTTGACCAACATGGATCCTATAGTTATATTCTTTTGTGGACAGAGGAAGTGCATTATTTGTTGTATCCCTTTTCTTGTCACAAAATCATGTCGGGTTTATGGTTATGGCGTGTGTGGCCTGGAACACTTGTCGAATTAGGGCTCATGCATATATTCGCCTAATGAGGTACCCTTTTCCCTTTTTCTAATTTTATTTAATTTACAAATAAATAAATCATGTCGTCCAAACGTGATGCATGTGACCATTGGAGCAAGTATTTGTTCATTTGATCCTGTAAACCCGACAGTACCGGGATCAAGAAACTATATATGCAAACATAAACACTACTGCATTTGGTTCAGCATGTAATGGTTTGGAATCACAATAATACTGCTTGCCATCTATGGCTCCGTTCGGCTAGTAGAATTTTGGTTGAAACTGGCTGAAAAACACTGTTCTAGCTGAATTGTTGTGAGAGAAAAATACTGTTCCGACTGAAAAAAGAAGCCGATCTAGCCAAATATGGGGTAAGCTGACGAGCTACCGGTTCAAATCTGGGTCCACTATGTCCTGCTCATGTCATTCCTTAGGTACCCGTCACTAGCTAGGATAAAATGGGAAGGCCCACAGGTTGCTTTGAGATTGGTGTATGCCACGTGCAAGCAAAGGAGGGAGGTCTCTTTAGAAGAAGGAAGGGGAGTCTCTCAGAATCTGCCTCCCCCCTGGATGGCTCCTCCATAGACCATAGTAGTCCATGCCCACCGCGTCAACGCACGATGAAAGCGAGCCCCATTCTTCTCAGGTTCTGAAGGCAGCAGCTTTGGAATTGGATCTCCGTGCAAGCCTGATCAGTCGTCCAACAGGTTAGTGATCGATTCTGCCACTGATTTCTCTCCATCCATGGCAAAAGCACTTCCGTACTGCCTTGAGCTAGTAACCTCTGCTTTGCTGATCCGTGATTAAGCATGTTATAGATGGGTCTCTGTGTTAGTGGTGTGCCAATGTTCAGCTTCCTAAGCAGTCCCTGTGAAATAGGGAAAACTGCTAAATATGTCATTTGATTGTTGTTATTTCGGGCATTACATTCCAATTTCCAGTGACTTAATTAATTTCTAGGTGCACATTATGCATTGCACAATCACTTGAGTGTGCAAATTTACCACTGTTATTCACATTTATATTTCCCAATCATGCAGTTTGCAGTCCTATACAATTATCCAAGTGTGCTAGCTTTCAGAAGTTGTTCCCAACTAGTAGTGAAAATATTCAGAGCTGGAAATACTATTGTTGTATTTGGTTAAAAAAGGCTGTATCAATGATCCATGGCGATGCTACCTACCATCACATTCCTGTTGCCATCCGAGTAGGTTCAGTTTCATGCAGGTTCCTCTTGAAGCTACTAAAGCCAAGAATTTGCTAAAGTGTGGACATATGTGCAGGATTTTTGTTGATGGGTATCTCGCAGAGGTCAGATGTTGCGAAGGACCCAAGTAGATCAGTGTACAAATTTTTCAGTCTAGCTTAGACAATGGCTTTTGTTCTGAATTTGCTTTGTAAGACTTGCCGTACAAATGGCATAAGATGTATGCACATTGTAAATTTTTATTTGAAATACCTATGGCATCCTGGCAGAGTTGAAACCTGTATACAAGGTTTTTTTTTGCTAAAAATGATTACACTGTTTTGTGATAGTTCCTATGATTGATTTACAAAGATCTGGATTGTGAAGAGAATATGCAGAAATTCACAACCAGAAACTAAAAACTGAAAATACCAGGCCCTGCAAATGCAATGGGGGCTATGCCTAGATCAATAAGGGTTACTTTGATGTACAGGTTTCGTGTGTTTTGGTTCAGATAGATATTGCATTTAGGCGATGGAAGGCTGGGAACTTTGGTTCCTCTCATGCCACTTCCGTGCATTCCCCCTCGGTGTCAAACTGGTGGTGGAAATGACAATTATGCCATCGAGTCCATTTTCCTCTTCTTCCTCTCTCCCTCTGTTCTCACACGCAAGCAGGGACGCGAGCTTTTTATTAAAAACACGGCAGTGGAGCGAGGTGCCCGGCCACCCAGCACTGCAGCGCGCCGCGGTGGCGGCCGGCTCGCTCGCCCGCGCCCGCGCACGCACGGCGGCGGCGAGGGGGCTCGCCCGCCTGCGTGCTGGCAGCGGCGGCGCGTCGACCCGCTCCCTCGCCCGCGCCCGTGCACGCACAGCGGCGGCGAGGCGGCTCCCTGGCCCACGCTCGCGCGGCGGCGGCTTGGCAGCTCGCTCGCCGCGCCCGAGCGCACGCGGCAACGGCGCATCGGCCTTCTTGCTCGCCTGCGCTCGCGCAGCGGCGTGGCAGCTCGCTCGCCCGCACGCGCGCACGCGCACTCCTAGACTCCGGCGTGCTCTTGGCGGCCACGGACTCCGGCACGCCCGGCGTGGCAGGTGGTGCTGGAGGAGAACTGGAGCTGTAGGCCACGGGCCCCGTCGTGGTGTACCTCGTCCCTAAGGAGCAAGCGTGGCAGGTGGTGCTGCAGGCTGTCGCCACACTCATCTGGGTCTTCGGAGGCGTTTCTGCGGTGGCCGGAGATGGCTAGAAGTCGTCGCCCCCCTCCGTCATGCGCACCTGCGAGCCTCACCACGCGCGGCGATGCAGGCCGCGCACAGCCCCGACCGCGCGCAGGCGAAGGCCATGCCTGGCTACGGTGGGCGGCCCTGCCTGCCCTCCGCGTGGGGCTTGGGGCCGTCTAACCCGGCTACGGCGGCCGCAGCAGCACCCGGCCGTGGTGGCCTCCAGCACCACGAGCGGCGCGACGGTGGCCTCCAGCACCTCGAGCGGCGCGACGACGACAGCGACCTTGGCCGTGGTGGCGGGAGACGACACCAGCCTCCCCCGCTGGCAAGCAGGACACTACTGCGGCCGCCCAGGCGCTTCATGGGGAGCGCGGCGCGCTCCACGGACAATGCCCCAGCGAGATTTGCGGGCCGGCGGCATGCTAGTAGCGAGCGAGGGAGGAGAGGTTAGGCACCGTGAGTCAAGGGCAGCCTGGACATTTTCCATGCATGGACCCACCTGACAGATGCAATAATCTGTTAAAATGTGACGGGAGGCGACGGATGTGGCATGGAAGGAAAGAAAATTAAGAGCAGGGTCAATCAAGTCCGTCGACGTTGTGTTTGTTAGCGAGATTCCGGTCATCGGACGTTCGGATATTAATTAGAAATACTAAATATGAGTTAATTATAAAACTAATTATATAAATAGAGATTAATTTACAAAATAAATCTATTGAACCTAATTAATTTATCATTAGCACATATTTATTGTAACACCATATTATCAAATCATGATCTAATTAGATTTAATAGATTCGTCTTATAAATTAATCTTAATATATGTCGTTAGTTTTATAATTAATTTATATTTAATACTTTAAATTAGTGTCTAAACCTTTGATGTGACGAGAACTGAAATGTAGTCCGTGGAAGCCAACCCCTTAGTGCCGCAGAAGGAATTACGATCTTCCCTGCTTTAGGCCTCGCCTTATCCTCCCCCGGCTCTCCACGCGCGGATGTCGCGGCCCGCCGCCTCGCAGGCTCCGCGGCCTCTTCCTCTCCCCCGCCGCGACGCACGCGCCTCTACTTCGCCGTCTTCTCCCGTCGTAGATTTGCTTTCCTCAGATTCTCCATCGTCACCTGCATGTCGCCCCCTCCGCTCACGGCCGCCGCCCAGCCGTCATCTTCCTCGACGAGCCCGCTCCCTCGAGGTACGCTCGCTCCTCGCCTTTTCTCGATTCCCACGGTTTCCCTCCCTACCTGTTTGCCTTCTTGCTCCGCATCCTGTGTCGGCGGCAGAGGCGATGGGTGTCGTTTCCTGTGGTTGCAGTCGCTGCGAGTCGTGCAGCGGATTCTAGGTGTGGTCGCTGCCCGCTCGGTCGCATGCTCGGGTCCACCCGGGATTTCCTCGGTTCATGTCGTCTTTCTTTTGAGGTAAGCTTTGGTTCTCGGAACTCCGATCTCCTTACACCTCTGATTCCTAACACTGTATCTCATATCTTTTTGTGGATTTCATAGGTTCCAGCATATTTCGCCATCGCCCACACCGTCTATGCTGGGTATTCAAAGTTTTGGTTTGCGTGTGCCCATGATTTTTTTGTTGTACTGCTGTACTCGCTGCATTTCTTAAATACCATGAGGACAAATCGTCGATTATTTTCATGTCACAGCGAAAACGATGGCCTCACCTCCTTGGCTGCCAAGAATAGCATCTGCATGTCTTGCCTCTAAGAATAGCATCTGTCTTCAGATTCAACTCAGTTAAGTTTGATTTTGGTTTTAGTTTTCATATGTGCCTTCTCATTTGCCGTCAGAGCATTAGGATTTTGAGTTCTTGAGTCTTGATTGCCAAATGTGCTTCTTTTAGGTCCAATTGGTGCTACACGAGCCGATGAGTGCTCTCTGATTTATGGTTCCTCCGATTTTGCTCTTTGTCTGCTAAATAATCTGCTGCATCCCTTGTCTGAATGTGCAGCTAGGGAAGGCGGCGCTGAAAAGGGCACCCTGCGGCTGCACTATAGCAGATGCAGGGGCAGGCGTCGAATGGCTCACCTGCCGTACTGTAGCCACAGCAGGGGCAGGCGCCAAAGTCAGCGTTGCTGTCACATCTAGTCACTGTAGCAACATGATAGCTGTACTAGGACTAGATAGATAGAGTTGTATAAATAGTTTCCCACTGCAACTTAGTAAAGAGTTCAGATTTGCCATCTCCTATACAAAGCTCTAGCCAACGCTGGCAGTGGCACTGCTGTGTGTGTTATGTTCTTCCTCCCTTCCTCTACCTCTAGCCATAGTGTGGTCGGCAACGACAGTTCGTGGTCGGCATCGCTAGTGTATGCTCGGCAACACTAGAGAGTGGTCGGATATCTTCGTACTGGAGATTGAAGAGCCAACAAGTGGTATCGGAGCCGTACAAGCGTCGTCACTGGACTAACCGCTGGCGATGACGGACGGTTCGGAGATAGGCGACAGCAGTGGCACTGCTGTGGCTGCCCAACCACGACAGGAGGTCGTTGTTCGCACGGTGCGGGAGGTCAGCGGCACCAGTTGGCAGACGCTGACGCGCACTAACTATGGTGAGTGGTCGGTGACCATGAAGGTCAAGCTCAGAGTCCTACGGCTCTGGAATGCTGTTGACAAGGGCACCGAAAATGAAGAAGATGACATGTCAGCGTTGGAGGCTATCCTCGCTGCTGTACCGGCGGAGTATAGGGAGCCGTTGGGGGAGAAAAGTTCTGCTAAAGAGGCGTGGGAGGCTATTGCGGCGATTCGCGTCGGTTTCGACCGCGCAAAGAAGGCGACGGCTCAGCTTCTGAAGCAAGAGTATGCCAACCTCAAGTTCAAGGATGGTGAATTGGTGGAGGACTTCTTCCTCCGCCTGCAAACGCTCATCAGCAAGCTGAAGAGCCACGGCGTCACCATCGACGAAGAGGAGGCGGTCTCCAAGTACCTCCACTCCGTGCCGGCAAAGTACATCCAGATCGCTCTCTCCATAGAGATGATGCTGGACTTGTCCACCCTCATCATTGATGATCTGACAGGCCATCTGCGGGCGGTGGACGAGCGCCTAGAGCAGGCGACAGCAACGAAGGACAGCGGCAAACTGCTGCTGTCAGAGGAGTGGGCTACTCGGAGGAACTTCGGGGTAGCCTCCTCTAGCCGCGGTGGCAATGGCAAGCGTCGCGGCAAGGCTTCTTCGGAGAAGAAGAAGCAGGTCGACCCCAACGCCTGCCGGCGCTGTGGGAAGACGGGCCATTGGGCACGGGAGTGCACAAATTGCAAGCAGGAGAAGAAGGCTGAGGCTCATCTGGCGCAAGCTGATAATGATGATGAGGCCACTATTCTGATGGCGACGTTCTGTGCACTGCACGACATCGAGGCCGAGGAGAAGGGAGAGGTGATGATGGTGGAAGGACCTGGTAAGGCCCTGAAGGCTGTCAACCTCGACGAACCGCGCGCCCAAGTCCACCTCGGACTTGTGGGCTGTGAGCAGGAGCAGTGGTGGTACCTGGACTCTAGCGCCAGCAACCACATGATGGGCTCCAAGGTAGCCTTCTCCGAGTTCGATGACGATGTGACTGGTCAGATGAAGTTCGGTGACGGCTCACGGGTGGCAATACGAAGGCGTGGCACCATCATCTTCAGATGCCAGAACGGCGAGCACCGCACACTAACGGATGTATATTACATCCCACAGCTGTGTTCAAGCATCATCAGTATTGGCCAGCTGGATGAGCACGGTAGCATGGTACTGATCAAGGACGGAGTCCTCCGGATCAGAGACCAGGAACAATGACTTCTTGCCAAGGTAAAGAGGTCCCAGAACCGGTGGTACCTGCTCGACCTGAAGGTAGAGCAGCCGGTGTGCCTGGCGGCAAGGCACACCAAGGAACCGTGGCTGTGGCATGCCCGGTTCGGACATCTCAGCTTCGATGCGCTTGGTTGGCTGGAGAAGATGGTGCGAGGGCTACCCCACATCGAGTACGAAGGCGAGCTGTGTGACAGCTGCCTGGCCGGGAAGCAGAGAAGGCTGCCGTTCCCAAAGGCAGCCAAGTATTGCGTGATGGACACTCTCGAGCTCGTCCACGGCGACCTCTATGGGCCAACCACGCCAGCCACAAACGGTGGTCGGTGGTACTTCCTCCTACTCATGGATGATTGCAGTCACTGCATGTGGCTGCAACTCCTAACGAGCAAGGACGAAGCGGGGGGGCGATCAAGAAGTTCAAGATGCGCATGGAGGTCGAGAGCGGCAAGAAGCTCTACGTTCTAAGGACTGATCACGACGGCGAATTCACTTCGGTGGAGTTCGCTGCGTATTGCACGGATCAGGGTGTGGTGCGCCACCACACCGCGCTGTACTCGCCACAACAGAATGGCGTAGTGGAGCGAAGGAACCAGACGGTGGTCGGCATGGCTCGATCCATGATGAAGGCCAAAGGCATGCCGACAAGGTTCTGGGGTGAGGCGGTGACCACGGTGGTGTTCATCCGCAACCGCGCTCCCACCAAGGCCCTAAAGGGCAAGACACCGTTCGAGGCTTGGCATGGACACAAGTCGAGCGTGTCCTTCCTCCAGACATTCGGCTACATCTGCCACGTCAGGAAGACAAAGCCGATCCTCACAAAGCTAGACGACAGGAGCACACCGATGGTGTTCCTGGGCTACGCGAAGGGTACCAAGGCATACCCGCTCTACGACCCATGCGGAGACAAGGTACTTGTCTCGCGCGACGTCGTGTTCGACAAGAAGGCGGCCTAGGACTGGAACAGTCCGAGCACGGGGGAAGCTGGCGGCTTCACCAGCACCTTCGTTGTCGAGCACTTGGTCATCCATGGTGGTGGAGATGCTGGGAAAGAGATGCCGAGCACTCTGGGAGGGGTGCTGAGCACTCCAGCGACAGAGCCGAGCACTCTGGGAGGGGTGCCGAGCACTACAGCGACAGAGCCGAGCACTCCTAGAGAGGTGCTGAGCACTCTGGGAGGGGTGCCGAGCACTCTAGGAGTGGAGCCGAGAGGTCCTGCAGTGGTGGCGACCACTCTAGGACGGGTGCCGAACATTCCCATAGTGGAACCAAGGGGTCTTGCATGGGTGCCGATCACTGCAAGACGGGTGCCGAGCACTCCGGGAGGGGTGCAGACCAGTCTAGGAGTAGTGCCGAGCACTGCAACTGGGGTGCCAAGCACTCCAGGTGCTGTGCCGAGCACTCTGGCGGAACAAGGAACTCCATCGACGCCGATCGAGTTCGCCTCACCTCCAAGTGACATCACTGAGTTCATGGATGCCTTCTATGAAGGTGAGGAGGTGCGGTTCCGCAAGCTGGATGACATCATCGGTAGCACTGGGCCCTCAGGCCTAGCGGGTCGGCTGCTCAGTGACCAAGAGCTACTGCTCGTTAGTGCAGAGGAACCACCCACGTTTGCGCTGGCCGAGCGCGATGGAAATTGGCGACGAGCGATGCTGGAGGAG